CTACTTTTCCGAAAAATATCCCTCATCTCTTATCATCGTCTGTGTTAATTAATTATCTGATCATCATAATCTGTGACAAAAACTGCGTAAAGAATGTACGGTCATCTCAAGTTTTACAAGGTAAGCGTTCCTAAATTGAAAGAAAGCTACAGACAAGTTAGTTTGAATTTTCAGTCAAATCGTCATTTTCATTTATGCAAACCAAACAAAAAATTATGTGGCCTGGAACTATGAGGAAAATAGTGATTATACATGCATGCAGATATGTTTGTCCACATCAGCTGTTCTGAACAAAACAACGATACATTTTCGTCAAAACGTAATCATTCGCTATATTTCTCAAACTGTAACTCTTTAATTTTGGTGAAAAATTAAACAGCAGACCTGCGCATGAAGTTCTTTGTCCAGAAGGTTTATTCCATCTGCCAACCTGGCAAGCGACTCGCTGATGGCACGACTTTGAATTATGTTGTTTGCATATGTTCTGTCATCAAAATTATCTTCCAAGAATTGCTTGAATGTTTCTGGAAGAGCAAAAACTTTTTCAACATACTATATTATATAAAGGGTTTAACCAGGTTGAAAGAGTTTACCATCATTTTGCAATAACTTCTCCAAGCTAGCGTCCATCTTGAAAAAATTATAGACATTAAGTGATGAATACACCACAAGAAATTTGTTATCAAAAAGTCCGCTGGAAATAATAAGCGCACAAGTAAAAGTCACATGTTTCTTGTTTTCCACGTCTACCAAAGAGTCACGCAAACTCGGAAACTTAAAATGGCCGACGGTCGTCTGCAAGGCAAAGAAATTATTGTCACTGCAGCAGCGCAAGGAATCGGTCGTGCTGTTGCCGAAGAATTTGCCAAGGAGGGTGCTAATGTTTTAGCCACCGACATCAACAGCGAAAAACTCGCTGAACTGAACTCTGTCAAAGGAATACGAACCAAGATTTTAGACGTGACGAACTACGATGCGATTAAAGAACTGGTCAAAGATTTCTCCAAGTTAGACGTGCTCTTTAACTGCGCTGGGTTTGTTCATAATGGATCGATTTTGGACTGTGAGGAGAAAGATTGGGATCTTTCCTTTGATATAAACGTGAAGAGCATGTATCGTTTGACGCGGCAATTTCTCCCCATCATGCTCGCAAACGGTGGAGGAGTAATTATCAACATGGCCTCTGTAGCTTCGAGCATTAAGGGAGTTCCGAATCGTTTTGTGTACAGCACAACAAAGGGTGCAGTCATCGCCTTCACCAAAGCACTAGCAGCTGACTTCACCGCGCAGGGAATTCGTACCCATGCCATTTGCCCTGCCACAGTGGATACTCCTTCACTGCGAGGGCGAATCAACAGTGCCCCAGACCCTGAAGAAGCCATGAAGAAATTCCTGGCGCGGCAGAAACAGGGAAGACTTGGAAGACCTGACGAAATTGCAAAACTTGCTGTTTTCCTTGCGTCAGATGAGGCGCCTTACATGACTGGCTGTGAGCATATCATCGATGGAGGATGGATGCTTGGCTAAGTGCCTGTTTTGGTAGAGGGGGGAGGGGTGGGGTCACCGCTTAGGCTTGATATCTTGATCATTTCTAATTAAAAGAGTCGTCGATTTTCTGTTATATGAACTTGTTCAAACTGATATTGAAGCAAACCGTTGTTCATTTTCTTAGTCTTACTGCCTTTAGACTATCACTATTATCAAGACTTGAAAATAAATGAAATGGGTGGCAGCTGGCTTAAGATGGTGACATAGCTTATTCAGTTAATGATTAATGTATTTTATCAAAGAGCTCTCAAAGTCAAAGAAAGATTCAGTTTATTTTCAGCATTTATATTTAGTTCTAATGTTGATACACTGTCTTGGAGGCAAATTGGTATCAGGAGGGTGGGGAATGGTGAAATTAGGGATGACTCCTCCTTCAGCTCTGCCATGTCCAATTTTTTGAAATTTAAATAGGGAGCCCTCCCTTAGATTCACCGATTTATTTTTGCCAATGAAATAGTTTTAACCCTTTAACTCTCATGATTTGATTGTTAATTCTCCCTTCTAGCTGCTACACATTTATTTGTCGATTAGTTATAAGAATTTGCTGTTAGATCAAGATGACAACTTCTACCTGATAAGTCTGAGTATTCTCATTACCTTTTTGCTAGATAATGTATGAATATTATGGGGAGAAGTTACATGCCAATCACTTCTGGGAGTTAAAGAGTGAAAAAAGTATAAACAGATCTTTCCTTTTGATTTCGAGGGCTTAAGTCAATGCATTTGAATGGAACAAATTTATTTTATTTGATGAACTTAGTATGTAAAAATAGACCAGAAAGATGTTTTCTACTATAATAGTAATTTTATTCAAACTCTTGATTGGTTCCAAGGACCCAAACATTGAAATAAATAAAATACTCCTCAAACTGAAAATTTTTAGAATATTCATATTTTAGAGCATGGTGTTGTAGAAAGAGCATTTTTCAATTGCACGGCAAGAAACCAAACCCAGAGTAAATCACAACAGCCATTTAGAGACAGGGAAAATTTCACAAGGAACCAGTAAGAACTTTGGGTAACACAAGAAATTTTCATGAAGGGCGGCAGAGGGCCAATTGCCGAGTCATGGCTGGTTTTAGGTTTGTCTCTGATTGGAGGGTAGAACAAGTTTTCTTAACCTATCACAGAGGAAAGGGGAGCAAACCCAATGGAATCCTAGATTTCTTCCTCTACTCAATTTCAAATTGTGTTGAACGATCTGTGTACTGCTGGCCATAACACCTCTTACTGCTGTCTGTTTAACCTATAAGCATTCTCTCGTGTTTGTTTTTCAGCTTAAGCCTTTAAGCCCTAAGATTGATTAGAAAGTAATTTCTCCAATCAGTATCAGCCCTAAAACAGACATTGGGGTCATGAGAATAAAGGAAATGATCACCAACTGAAGAAACTCTTGATTGTTAAGCAAATTCTCTTTGTCAGTACCATAGGAAATGTATAGTGAACAGTAGGGAGAAAACGTATACTGATGTTATGATGTAAAGGGTTAAACCCCTATTTGGGCACAGCCACCTGTAACACTATCAGCAGCCGCTTATGGAAAAAGATATAAAAACTCTTGTGTTGTTTAAGGTTGGAGACTGATTTGTTTGAGCAGCAAATGAATGCTCACACTTGGTGCAGAGAAGACGAAAAATTGAAAATCGAAGTCTTTCGGATTATGATAAAGAGATTATGGGGTCCATCTACAGCGGGCAAGTGCATTTATTTGCAACAAATCATGAAAAAAATTCCACACTTCTTTTTTTGGATTGAAATTAATTATCCAAATGGCTATGTTACTAAAAAATCGTAACGCAGTGAGGTTTCAAAAGACGGATACTTAAGCGAAAAATAACAGTCACAAAAGCTAACGTGGAAAACGTATTAGAGAGTTGTTGCCCAGGCCCGACGATATTTTAAGATTTCATACTGCGCACAAAGTTGAAATTTGAAACTCAAAGTTTTTCCACAAATTAGAGAAAAGAAACATTCAATTTCCAACAGCAGGCAAACTACAAAACCATATTTTTAAAGTTTGATAGAGATCAGTTTTGAGTTCCGTGGCCCCTTTGTGAGACCTTGAGCACCATAGTTTAATCCACGTGTTCCGTCAAGGTCCCCTATACTTTCAGAGTAAACTCTGTTAGAAAAATGCGCGCGCGTCGTGTGCCGCTCGAGTGGGAAATGCGTGTACCACACTTAAATAGTCTACATGGTGCAAAACGAGATTGAGCATCGGAAAACTCAACGAGTGTAGATCTCGGTTATGTGTGTGCTTTGAAGCGTCACTTAAGCGGCTGGGCTGCGAGGGGTTCGTCGCTCATCCTTTTGTACAAAAAGCGCAAACAGAAGCGCTAGATACTCTATTGTTATTGTAAAACAGTTGGTGGATCTTTACGACCGTTAATTTTTTGCGCATTCATCCATTGATCTGATTTCAAAGCAATTTCGTTTAAAAAATGGGACGATCAAAACAACACAAATGGAAGAATTACTGGTTTTATTCAAGCGCGCAATCTATTTAAACGGTGAAGGCAATCTTGAACATTTATTGAAGAATCAAAATTGCTAGTTTTGATGTAACGTGAATGCCGTTGAATCAGGATGTCTATTCACCTTGGTATGCATCTCTACGGAGTTGTATAAACAAACTTTTAGAAAGAGATCAGTTTAAAATCACCAGGTCGCGTAAATTCCAGCGCGATTATAATCAAAAACCTAGCGACCACGCTTTTCTCGACAGGGGGCAATAATATTCCAATTATCATTCGAATTGAAAAACAGGGAAAACGGCAGGAAACACAGTTGGAATAAAAACTTTATAACCACATTCTTTTTAACGGTTATTTTTCGTATACCGTGTCAAAATACACGTCTTAAAATACTTTTCAAGAGCCATTTGGAAAAGTGCTATTTCGATGCTATCGAAGAAATACGTTTTTTCAATATTTTACACAGTAGACAACCTTAAGTCTTTTTTTCGCTATTGCTTATTTTCTAGCAGGAGAAAATCGTTGCAAACGCCTTTCAGTCCGCAGACGATGTTGCACTAACGTATATAGAAAAGACACGTGTGCTAAGCATAACTGCATGTTCAACAGACACAATGATAAGTCTTAAAACTTCTCTTATTTACCTCTCTAAAGATTGTTCGAAGCACGTGTTTTCGGCTTAGTAAATAACAGACGATTTTCATGCAAAACCTTGGAAACTGGCCGTTAAGTTATTTATACTGTCAATTGTTTTATGGGCATTATTAAGAGGCAAACGTTAATTTAATTTTTCAAATTTGAACCCAACCCGTAGTTTGTCCACATGAGCATAACTTGCTTTCTCCTTCTTTTCAAAAAGAAAAAGGAACATCTTGAATATGGCTTGAATACATGTTAGAAGTCCTCTGATTTACATCAGCTGAAAATGTCCACAAGAAGCTCTGATTCAACACAAATTTCATAATAAATTGGAATACCTTTGACAACATAAATGATTGACAAATGAGATAAAACTCAGTTTTCTACAACTGTACATGATCAATCGGTTTTAAAACAGACTAAATATAAGCCTCCACCTTTCATTTGACCGTCCACAATGCCTCGTTCGTCTGAAATATTCCTCGGGCAAACAGGGATGATTAAAGGGAAACAAGTTCAAACGATCAATAACGACCCCTCCGATTGGAATGGCTACAACTTTCTAGTTAAAAGCGATAATCGCCTAAAACGCCCAATCCTCCCCAAAAATGAGCGATCGAGCCTTAATGTTTAAAGCATACTCCTCCTATGCGCTATTTTCTGACAAGAAAACCTCGCATTTCTTTTCTTTTCCTAGCAACAGTTGAAAGATGAAGTAGTGTCTTCCACCTACACTAGCAACTTCTGTCCATAACAATTTCAAGTTCTTCTACTGAGAACTAACTTCAACGTTTTAAAACTTGGAGCCTGTCAAACGGAAGAAACGCTTCTTTTGCTATTCACAATGCCGAGGGAAAACTTGTCACATCAAGAGATAATTATAACTTGCTAGCGGGGGAATTCGGCTTTAAAATCACACAAGACGATCACTTCCCTGGGTAAAAGGGTGGAAGCGGCTACGAGCCGAAGGCGGGTGATCTACGAGATATTTTAGTGTTCTCCCAACACCATTAAAGACTTGTCATGTCAGCAAACTAATGGAAAGCGCTATTTTATGAAATAAGTTTGAAAGATATCAACAGAAGGTCTTAGTTTTCTCAGTGGGCCAACAATTAACTAAAAGGTTTGAGCCGCGAATTCTCATTCATTTTAAAGGGAGAAAGGTTTTTTTTTGCTCCCATTCTAAATATTTCTAAGCAAAGAAGGAGTGTTTGCTCTCAGGCTTGAAGTAGTCAATCCTCTTCTTTGCATTCGTGGTGGTGTAAGAACACATCAAAAGAAACAATTACACAAAGGTTTTAATGATCAAATAATTTTATTTAAAACTGCCTCGCAGCATAACCTTTTGTCGATAATAAAATCTTTTTTAAAAATTTAAATACGTTACGACTATTTACATAGTAAATATTAAAAGTAGGCTCTTCTGGATAAATTATTTGCAAGAGGAAAAATCTCTCGATGTCGCTTGTTTTGAGATCAATTTCTAACACTGTAGATTTATTTCGGCGTTCACTGATCACCAAGGACGCCATAGCGGTGTCTTTGTAGTGGCGCTTGGAGAACTCGCAGGCGAGATGCTGATTTTCTGTGTTTGAACTGCCGATGGACTGATCGGGGATGGTATTCTTGGCATTTCAGTTTTAATTGGACTTGTTAAGGGATTAAAAATTGTAGGTTGATTTGTGGGAGATGGCGGTGGTGAAGGATATGGAACCCAGACGGTGTTAGGCGCAATGGCGGGAAAACTCTGAGTCATGGCGGGAATCCCTGACGCGTGGCTCGTGGCGACACGGTTAGTGGCGTTGCTATGGTAGCATGAAGCCAAGTGTGACAAGAGTTTTTCCCTGAGCTGCTCGCTTCCTTCACTTGTCATACTTCTGTTGACTTCGCTCACGCAGTGGTTGAAGCCGGCTCTGTATTCGGCTGGTGACTGAGGATCTAAGAGTGAAGGAAACGTCTCGTTAAATTTCAGATCTTTGCAAAAAAGTAAAAAAGGAAAACAACAACAACAAAAAAACATGAATAAAGATAACTTTTGGCGTTGAATGCGAGCTAATTATCGTGGTACGAGCGCTGAGCACCATCATTTATACGTTCAAGTTGTTTCCAAGCGCAAAATGTCAAGTATCGTCACATGGGAGAAATCTTGAGAAGCATTCTTATTCTTTTCATACAAAATAAATCATGCACTTAAGATAGTTGCAAACTGGTGCTTTTTGCCAATAGTTGCAGACTTAGCGATGTTTTGGAACCTCGTTCTTTCTTTTATTATGGATAATCATGAGAAGCTTCACAAACGCTTACCTTCAATGCCACTGTCTTTTCGGTGCATGGCTCTTAGGTAAGTCACGGTCATTTCAAGAACATCAGCTTTCTCCATCTTGGAATAACGAGAGGCCTGGACAAAGGAAGCCAAAAAAATAGTTATATCAAGTTTTTTAAGTTACACAAGAAAACTCAGTGATGCACAACAGTTCGTTAAATCTTCAAGATATTCAAGATGCAATCATTGCATATTAAAGCAACTCGAGGTGCTGAGCCTACAACCATCTTCGATTTCGTTTGTAATTTGAAATAAATCTATAAATCTTTAACTTACATCTTTCTGAAGGAGTTCCAGAACAAGGTTCTTGAGTTCGTTCAAACTGTCATTAATTCTGGCACGACGCATTTTTTCCATGAGAGGTTTCTTAGCCTAGAGAAAACAATTCAGACTATTAGCAAAGAGCCTTAAAAAATTGCAAAAGTTTATTGAATTTATTTCTTGTGCAATGTTAATGTTGCACTTATCAAAGACTAAGAGCTTAAAAACTTACCTTCCGCCTCTCTGAAAGAATCTTGCCTACATAGGCTGTGCTATTGACACATTCAACGGCCATGTTTTCGAATGTTAAGTTTTTGAATGAAATTCTCCGACGATGTTGACTCTGCGAGTGTTTGTCGTGAACTGTCCGACATGCATGATGCGATCACATTTATTTTCATCAGTCGTGGGAAAATATCAGAGTCGTGTGCCGACATTAGATAAATTTTATTTACAAACACCTGTCCAGTGACAATCGGCTTGCTGCCCAAACAATGCTGGCTTCATACACAAAGCCATAACCGTGGGAACAGTCGCCTCTGATTGGCTGAATGCTTAGAGTCGCACGATAACCGTCGTTTGCATTGTTTCCCGTCTTCAGCGGCGCGTGAAGAGCGTGAGACCAGACGAATCTGATTGGCTGACAAGCCCGTGATTCACCTTATAATAATTATGGTTTTGCTACTTGTACATTCAAACTTTTAAAACAAAAGCAAAATGACAATCTCTGCCTCTTGAAATTCGGCATCCAGGCTATTCGAGCACGTGCCGTAATTGACGCAACATCCTCGCAGCGTCTATAGATGCGAGGTTTTCTTTTTCCTAGAAAAAAACTTGTGATTCTAAAGTCCTCTAATAAGTTTTATATTGACCGTTTTAGAAAGTTTAAGTCATTCTGTTGTAATCCACGTGCTGCAGAAAACATAACAGGTATTATTTTCATTGTTTGTCTCGTTCTTTATCAGTTTATCTTTCTTTACACTTAAATCGGGCTTTGTAGACTGTATTTCAATAACAAAAGGAGGCGAAAATTTCCCACGGTAGAACGACTCGCGAACTAAATGTGAAATAAACGACATTCCCTTGGTGCTGCACGTATTGAACACGACGCCAGGTGGAGTTTTGTTTGTTCTGCTATAATGGAGACACTGATACGGGTCTATGTGCGACCATCATGACTATTTGAGTAAATTGCATCCGTTTTTCACAATTAACCCTCTGACGCAAACCAATTTTCTTGTCAAAAGTTGTTTATCTTTGGATGCAATTTGAACAAAATCAAAAGAAAGTTTTATTAAACTTTTTAACCTTACCTTCAGCGAAAGGACATTCATAGCGTAGATATCACAACAGCACCTTTTAAAGGATTCAAGAGTTAAAAGGAAAAGAGGGATGATTATCAATTTTTAATACACTGTGTTTTGCGAATTAATATCTGTTTTGTTGTAATGGTCAGCTAAAGTGACTGCGTTTAAATCATGATACCAAGTTAGCAGTGAGCCATCGTGGCGATTTATGTCCCGAGTTAAGGAAAGGTCGATTGCTGTTTTGGCCAAAAATCGGCAACTGAAGTCAGTTTTTTCTTTAATTTCTTCGAAAGCTCCGAGTCTTATAAATCATTACTTTATGCTATCGATAGTATTAAATTTATTTTCTGTCTAATGGACTGGAAATGATTTTGAAAGAATAATACTGAGCAAAGGTTATTTGACGTCGCGGCAGAGCTGACGCTCTCTACTTTTATATGCGAAGTCAAGCGTGGTCTACAAATCACTAAAAGTGTTTTCTTGTTGTTCAGCTATTAACAGCCATTTATATGGTATACTGTTGAGACAAATGCTTACAGTTCCTGAAAATTAGCGCACGTAGTCAATTTGAGGTAATGGATGGGCGTTTTTTTTTCCTTCACGTTGCGCCCCACTTCGATTCCTAATGAAACTTGGGGGGCAAAGTGTAAAGCAAACTGAAGTAAACCAGCTATGTTCGAACTTTGGAATTACCTTCCGACCAATCAAAAACCAAAAAAATTGCGCATTTAGTTTCCTATGTTTGAGAAAGCTTGCCGCAAAAGTAATCACAAATGTATCTTCATATCTTGTTAGTTCTTCGTCCACTGTTGTTTTCACAGGGATGATCTCTATTTCCTCTTTCTTTCTCGGCTCGAAATGCGAGGAACACCAAAGCAATTTTGAAACTGAACACGAGAAAACGCAGTCCGATCAATAATTAATTTATTCAACCGCCCTCTAAATAAAATATATTTTTCTATCTGTTTCTTACATTACTTGAATAGGGGTCGTGAAATTTTATCTTTTGCTCGGAAAAGGGTGAAAAAAAATGTCATTCATGAATAATGAGTAGTTCTTAGCTGAAATTAAGGCTTTCAGTGTACAGTATTGCGTTTCATGTTTTGTATTAAGTTTTATTACATAGCAGAGTTCGCAGTGCGCGCAGCAAGGCCCATATTTATTAAAAATGGTCTAATAAACATGACAAAACATTGTTTTTGAGCAGGCTACCTTTCTCCCTTTTCATCATAGTCAAAGACTCGCACGAAAATGATGAGCATTCATTTTAAGATATCACCATCTCTGTTTATCTGACTTGACTGACTTGAAATATTTATAAATGAGGAAGCCGTGAAAATTCCTGCTTTTTAAGACCATTGAAAATTTAGAAATACTCGCTGGCGGCTCTTGTT